GAAACCTCGGTTATGATGCAGTAAACCGCGGTTTATAAAACCGGTAATAACCGGTATAATGAAAACCGCGGTTATCAGTGCATGCAACGCGGTTTATAAAATCGGTAATAAACGTTAAATTTGAAGCCGCGGTTACGAGTGCACACACCGCGGTTTTTTGTGAACGCGGTGCAAGAAACCGCTGTGAACAGCGGTTTTCAGCGGTTATCGAATTGACACCGCGGTGGTGTGCGATGAAACCGCGGTTTTCGTATAAAAATTTTTCCGTGGGTACTGATAGACTTTACTTCATTGTAGCAATTTCTATATGATTAGTCTTAAACTAGCATATAAATAATATAAGCAATGATCTTTGTATTATTCTTTTGAATAATTAAAAAAATATATGGTGATATTTTAATATTATGATTAATGTTTTCTTATCGTCCAAAATATGAAGAATTGTTAGTTTGTTGATGATATTTATCATAATGTTGAAATAACATTATACATTCTTTTGTGTTTATTCAAAAAAGAAATACAAGCAACAGCTGGATGTTGATAATATATTACAGTGCTGGACAAAAGTTCTGGGACAAACTTTTCTCTTTTATAATATTTTATGAAGAAGCTATTATAAGTAAATGATGATGTGCTTTGATAGATCTAGTAGCGACCTCTTACGTACTATCATAGCATTATAGTTGAACGCTTCCGTAGCAAGTTATGTAAGTTTACAAATTAGCCCTTTGGCCAAAAGTTCTAGAACAAAGCAGGAATATTCCATTGGATATTGAATATTATATACAAAAATGATTAGATGAAGCTGAAAATTTCAGAATTTGTAGTTCTTAGAGAGACAATATTGTTGATAAAAGATAGTTTCGAAAAATTTGTTAGCATCGTAATTTGCTCAGATTAGCAAGGATGACATCTCTATATCCCCTCATGCCCCTGCCCACCTGGACTCAAGTGCATGAGTTCTTCATGAAACTTTCAGGATATATTGGGTCTAGTGCCATTAGTATATATCCAAAATTTCAGGTCATTAATTCTTCATATCAATTCCGAGATATTTCAACTTTTAAGTCAAAAAATAGCACTTTTTTGGTGTAGACCCTAATTGACGCCTTACGTGCGAAATTATTCGGGATCGTTTTAAATTATAGAAGACACATAGCTTAATGTTGTTACGTTATTTGTTTTTTTAATTTCTCATTAGTTGTGTAGTAGGTGAAAATTTATTGTAATATGGGTCAGAAATTGGTTAAAAATGCCTAAAAATGGATGCCAAATTTGAATAGTAGAATTGTATTTTTATAAAGAAAGAAGAAAATAAGGAATCCTTCACCGTAGCAACCTCAAGATGGATACACTCTATCAAACAACACAAGAATAAAAACTTAATATCGTATCGGTTTGTTCATTATTTATCCAAATCATCTAAACTCAAAGATTACATGAATCAAAATATCTTCGAGATGAACGGCGATCAATAATTCTCAATGAAAGAAACTTTCTAAGATTACGTCGTATTCCAGTATTGTTATATGAACATTTACTCCTTAATTTGTTATATGAACTCTTGTTTTCTTTTGTTTTATTCCACGATAAAAAATGTCTTAAATATACATTCACACACATCTTGCTTAATGACTAGTCGGACACCATAGGAGACTCACTCTGGATCTTTTCTTCAGCGATACGATATTAAGTTTTTATTTCTGTGTTGTTTGATAGAGTGTATCCATCTTGAGGTTGCTACGGTGAAGGATTCCTTGTTTTCTTCTTTCTTTATAAAAATAGAATTCTACTATTCAAATTTGACATCCATTTTTAGGCATTTTTAACCAATTTCTGACCCATATTACAATAAATTTTCACCTCCTACACAACTAATGAGAAATTAAAAAAACAAATAACGTAGCAACAGTAAGCTATGTATCTTCTATAATTTAAAACGATTCCGAATAATTTCGCATGTAAGGCGTCAATTAGGGTCTACACCAAAAAAGTGCTATTTTTTTACTTAAAAGTTGAAATATCTCGGAATTGATATGAAGAATTAATGACCTGAAATTTTGGATATATACTAATGGCACTAGACCCAATATATCCTGAAAGTTTCATGAAGAACTCGTGCACTTGAGTCCAGGTGAATAGGAGCATGAGGAAGTATAGAGATGTCATCCTTGCTAATCTCAGCAAATTACGATGCTAACAAATTTTTCGAAACTATCTTTTATCAACAATATTGTCTCTCGAAGAACTACAAATTCTGAAATTTTCAGCTTTATCTAATCATTTTTGTATATAATATTCAATATCCAATAGAATATTCCTGCTTTGTTCCAGAACTTTTGGCCAAAGGGCTAATTTGTAAACTTATATAACTTGCTACGGAAGCGTTCAACTATAATGCTATTATAGTATCAACTTGAGAAAGAAAACAAATTCTTTTATAGACAAATGAAAATGAGAAGTGCAGTATGAGACGAGTACATAAGTTGTTTTTATTTTAAATTTAATTTTAATAAGAAAGATTTTTATATAAATATGTAGAATTTTCGATCTGTTTTCAGTTGGAGACTAGCTGGCAAAACGATCATGATCAATACTTTAAATGTTAAATCATAATCTAATTATTAATATCATAAACATAACCAATAATACATGTTCAAATATATAATAATATAACCAATAACTCATGTCCATATACATCATAGTATTATTATATATTTGAACATGTATTATTGGTTATGTTTAGGATATTAATAATTAGATTATGATTTAACATTTAAAGTATTGATAATGATCGTTTTGCCAGCTAGTCTCCAACTGAAAACAGATCGAAAATTCTACATATTTATATAAAAATCTTTCTTATTAAAATTAAAATTAAAATAAAAACAACTTATGTACTCGTCTCATACTGCACTTCTCATTTTTATAATGCTATTATAGTACGTAAGAGGTCGCTACTAGATCTATCAAAGCACATCATCATTTATTTATAATAGCTTCTTCATAAAATATTATAAAAGAGAAAAGTTTGTCCCAGAACTTTTGTTTAGCACTGTACTACATATCTACAAATGCATATATATTGAATGCAGATGAAAACATATGTCCATTCAGGTGTTGAAAATGGCGCATAATTATAAAAATATTACCAGGTACCTTACTAATGATACTGCATACGATAGAAGAGAAACATTGTACGCGTGTTTATCAGTAGGTAAGTGAAGTATCTATGTTAAATTGACTGTGACGAATGGATGCATGTATAGAGAAATGACAAATATTAAATTTAGTTGTTTTTATTTTTTCTAGTCGTCTCTGAGTCTGCATCTTTCATAACGTTATTAGTACATATTATAACCAAATAAAACATTTCTTCTATCTAATAATAAAGAATGAATATAAACAGTGATAACAAAGGACAATATCAAGCTGTTGATCTATATGATGTTATAAAAAATTGGTCATCAACGAATGAATTTCGTTTTGTTAATAAAAATGGTCATATTAATGTTAATTATTTATCTTTTGGACGTCTAAAACATATTCATTCAAATATGATTTTATTTATCGTGAAAGCTAATTGGTGGCTAGTTTTATCATTTGCTTTGTTTGGTTTCATATCAAGTTGGTTTATATTTGCATTTCTTTATTTTCTTATATCAATTGAACATGGAGATTTTTTTTTAACAGAAGATGAAGCTTTATTAGAAAATTTAACAAATTATACTTATGAAAGAGTATCAATTGAAAAAGAAACATGTATTAAAGATGTACACAATTTTTTAAGTGCACTTCTTTTTTCTATTGAAACTCAACATACAATTGGCTATGGTTCACGATATATAACAACAGAATGTATGGGAGGAATTCTTGTATTAACACTTCAATCATCATTAGGATATTTATTACAAGTTATTGTAACACAGATTGTTTTTAGTAAATTATCAAGACCAACAGGTGAGAATTTTGTATCTCTCTTGGTCAAACTATCTTTTCTATATGCCAACGAAACTAATAAATAGTCTGTAGCTAGTTCGATTTTCGCGGATAGTCTCGTGACGGATTGGAATTATAATTGCATAAGCTTTTCAATATGATAGTGTCTTATGTAGACAGTTACTAGTTTGAGTTCGAATTATTACTTTTTGATTTGTATCTATCGAGTTAGAGCTGAAGTGCAGGTTCACAAAAATATGGAATCACGACTATTTACAAGAGAACCTCTTTATATATGCTGCATAGCATTTTAATGAAATTCCTAACAGGATATCGATTTCTATTGAGATTTGACTAAATTATTAAATTTTTAATATATCTATTGTCTAAAAGCTCCTTTTTTTCCGAAAAATTCGTATTTTTGAATTTTGACCTGAAAATTTGTGGCTCTTCAAGATATGATGCTTTCAAAAAAATGCATGTTGTATGCATTTTCTAAAAAAAATGATTCATGTCATGACAGGCTCAAAGGTTGAAGAGAATTTGCTCAATAAATCTGAATTTTATTTTTCACAGGAGTTAGTCTAGTTGTGCTCCCTACATACACAGTGTTTCGAGTCAAAATTCAACAGCTTAGTCAAACTTCACTAGAAATCCAAATCTTTTAAAGTTTTTTTAGGACATTCTGTACTATGTATAGAAAAAAACATATTGAAATCCGAAGCGAGTGGCTGAAGAAGTTCTCTCGTTAGTCTTATTTTATCTACATAGTTATAACTGTTTTTAAACATGTGTTATTTATGAACAAAAAACATTAGTATAAAGGAGCAATAGAAGGTAGTAGTATAATATTAATACAGTGTTACAAATTTGACAAGAGAATATTTTCAAGTGGTAGAAGAAGGAAAAGTGTATGTTAGAAAAAAACAAAAAAATTGAGAAAATATGAACGAAAGTTACGCAAGTAAGCTCGATTGACTCTGCGATATTTTATCTGATTACGATTTTTTGAAATAATATGATTTTTTTTTCTTTAAACAATTTCAAATGTTTATCTCTATGTATAAATGAATTAAATTTTAATATTTTAGAAAAATCTCAATTCGTTGTCTTCAGTGACAAAGCAGTTATTCTTCCACGAGATAAACAACTAACGTTAACATTTCGAATAGGTATATTAAAACCATGCTATAAATTGAAATAAATAATTTTCTTATTACTATAGGAAATTTATCTGTTTCACAATTAATATTTGCTAGTGTTCGTTTATTAATGATTCGTCAACGACGAACACTTGAAGGTGAAATAATTCCTCATCAAATCTATGACATGGAATTAACGTATCTTCGTAATGGTCGACTCTTTTTTCCTCGACCAACTGTTGTTGAACATATTATTGATAGTAATAGTCCACTATATGGTATTCAAAAATCCGCATTAGAAAAAGAACATTTTGAAATAATTGCAATTATTGAAGGTTCTTTTGATTACACTGGATTTTCATGTCATTTTCGTACATCTTATGTGCCTAATGAAATTTTATGGGGTTATCAATTTTCATCATGTGATTCAACACTTGAGGGTTTTGATTATGAAAAGTTTAACCAAGTTCAATTAATCTACGTTGAACAATTATGGACTTATGAGGATGAACAAAGTAATGATCCAACAAGACCAAATACACCATGCAATTCGCCCATTCCTTATTGTAGTCCATGTCTGAGTACAAATTCAATCAGAGCACAACAACAAAGTTCATTCTTTAATAATCGGATTAGCCATCTGACAACGATTGATTCAATTGATATAGAAGATGAACATATAGAAATATCTCCGTTAAAATCCAGTCATGTATTTACTTCAAAATTTAATTTTGAATGAATAAATAAAACAAGAAAAAGAATAATAAAAAATAGACATATCACAAAATGTAAGGGAAGTTAGCAGCCGATTCGAGTATTTTTCAAAACGATTCGTCCCATTTAGTGAGCCAACTCAGGAATGCTATGAGCCTGATACAGCTTAGAGAGCTCTATCAAATGGTGTAATGGGATTTTCAATGAAAGTTACTCAATTCAAATGAAAGGAAAAACCCTAATTTTTTCCCATAGGAAAAAAGCATTAAAAAAAGGTTTTCTCTGACGATTCGCCCCACGTTGTGAGCCACTCGTGAGATATAGCTCATTCGATGCACCTTAATGAGCTCTATCGAACGGTATATTTTTCATTCAAATCAAAGCAAAACTCTGGGTACAAGATGCCTGAAATGCTAGAAATCGGGATTCGAAGCAGTATAGTCCGTGACGATTCGCTTCAGTTTGTGAGCCACTCGTAAGATACAGCTCATTCGATGCATCTCGATGAGCTCTATCGATTGGTATATGTTTCGTTCAATTGAAAGTAAAGCATCGCAGGTTAGGATTCCATGAGTACCCCCAAATCGGGGTTTTGCAGTTTCTTGCCTGACAATTCTCTCCATTAGTTTAACCACTCACGAAACTTAGCTCACTCGATGCAGATCGTCAAACTGCGTCGAATGAGCTCAGTCATGTGAGTGGTTGAACTAATGGAGCGAATCCTCAATCAAGAAACTGCGCAAAACCCAGATTTGTGGGTACCTTTGGGATTCTAGTCCACAATGTTTTGCTTTCAATTGAATAAAACATATTCCAATCGATAGAGCTCATCGAGCTGCATCGAAAGCGCTAAGTTTCGTGAGTGGCTCAGCGAATGGAGCGAATCGTCAGCCAAGAAATTGTGAAGAACCACGATTTGGGAGTACCCTTGGGATCCTAGCCGGTGATGCTTTGGTTTCAATTAAACGAAACATATACCATTCGTTAGAGTTCATTAAGGTGCATGGAATGAGCTAAATGCCATGAGCCGCTCAACTAATGGCGGGAATCATCAGCCAAGAAACTGTCCAAAACTCCGATTTGGGAGTATCCTTGGAGTTCTAGCTATCGATGCATTGCTTATAATCAAACAAAGCATATGCCAATCGATAGAGCTCATCGAGCTGCATCGAATGAGCTATATCTCACGAGTGGCTCACAAAGTGGAGCGAATCGTCAGAGAAAACCTTTTTTTAATGCTTTTTCCTATGGGGAAAAACTAGTATTTTTGCTTTCATTTGAATTGAGTAGTTTTCATTGAAAATCGGATTACATCATTTGATAGAGCTCTCCAAGCTGCATCTTGCTCACAGCATTCCTGAGTTGGCTCACTAAATGGGGCGAATCGTTTTGAATAATACTCGAATCGGCTGCTAACTTCCCTTGCATTATTCACAAAATGCTTTATGATTCATTTACCATATATAAGCACGTTTTAATATTAAATGGATTTTAAATTGATCTAAGATTTATACTCATGTGCCCATCGAGATATGCATTGCGCCTGAAAAACAAGATGACGACCTCGCAGAGGATAGAAAGAGCCCAAAAATAATGGGGCAGAGGATAACCGTCAGAAAGTCTTTTTTTCGCGAGTGACACTGCCGCGTCATGGCATTTGGAGAAAACCAATTGCTAATTTGTTTTTCGAAATTTGTTGCATTATAATATTTCTCAGTAAATAAAATTTCCAATTAACCTATAGACTTACTCAGACTGGTATCCTTTTAACGATTTAATCTCTTTTCTTCCCTTTTCGGCATTTAATATGTATTGTTTTTTCTAAAAGATTCCTGATCAGCTTCATTACGAAACATTTACTGTCAATCTGAAACATAAAGCTATGAATCAAGCATCATAGTTTGCATGAAGATATTTCTTTTAAAACAATATATGTGTGAAGGTTTTTCAGACAAATATATCTGCGATAGGTTACTACTCTAGTATTACAATATAAAATAATCTTGAAGGTCGTGAGATATCTAGTGTTTGCTATTGAAAAACCATAGATGTACACGTTGGTCAAAATCTATGATATCATAGCATTAAAGAAGATGGCGGTTATCAAAAACTAGAGGTTATAGTCAACATTATCATGGGAACTTTCGAAGATAGATGCGAGCATGTTGTAATGAAGACGACAATAGCATCAAGGCATAATTTAATATGCGAGAACAATCTTACATAAATTTTTGCCATAGTCGTTCACATTTCTTGTGGCTTATTGTTAGAAAAAATATATATTTCATTCAAGAAAACCACTTATACAAGTAACAAAAAATACCTAGAATAAAATAACTGAACATGAGAATATTGTACCGTTGCATATAGAATCAATGGAGAACATAAGAAAGAATGAAAAATTAAGACCGCTACTTTTTTTTATGTCCGCATAGAAAGAACAGTATATTACTTTCCAAATATAAAATGATGATGAGCTTATTTGTCATTATATTTTTCCAGCTTGCATACGTAAACCGATTAAAGGAATGAGTTTTTATCTATAGTATGAAAAGTCTTGCGGTCGAGGCTGATGTAGATAGTATGGATATAAATTGTTTCGGTATGCTTTGAATATTTTTTCCGAGACGAGAATAGTGTGGCATATTTTTGATCTGATTACATGAGTTGTGAGTAAATCTTCACTTTACACAGACTCAAACTCATTCGTATCCACAGTCTCAAGTTTTTAAATTGCCAATTGTTCGTTTGAGATTTCAGTAAAAAAATATTTAAGTATGTAAATGTTCATCATAGTTGGAATATAATCACTGATGACTGTGCCATCTAGTGATAAATTACAACTGATACATTTGATGGCTAAACTAGTGAATGTTTCGCAATTGAATATAGAAGACCAAAGATGATCTGTCTTTGTTTTATCAAATCATTAGATTATACACATTGCTCATTAAGTAATGCTTCATGTCTTAGCAAAATGAACTAGAGAAGGAAATATTTTAACATCATTAAGTGATGTTTACTTATTTTTTTGTACTGAAAGAAATTTGTCCCATGCACGCTGTTTGGAATTTGAATCGACATATGTTAGATGGTTTGTCTAATGGTAAATGAATAATTCATAATGAGTGGCAATAAATCCATCATTTGTAAAAGTGCTTGTAAGAGCAAAAAAGAAAATATTTAAATGCTACTCTTTTAAAGTACGTATAATATTCATTGTCATCATAAAAATGGATTTTTTTGTCGAGTTTAATTCTGGTTTTTGATTTGCATTTAACAAAGTATATTATCTTATATGATTGAAATTAAACAATTGAATAGGATAAATCAGTAGTGGTAAACTAGCATGCCTTTATCAAACGTCATTTCCATAAATATGACAACAACAAACAAAACTATTTTTAAATATTTTTACATTTATAACGAGAAAATGAGTGTTCCTAAGATTCTTCCAATTATACATGTTTAGATAAATCATAAGTAGTTAGAACATATGGAGTACAGATGGAACAATGAAACAATAGCAAAACATACACTCGTAGGTATCATCTGACGTTTCAGTAGGGATCTCAGATCATTCGAACAATATTAAATGTAAAAAATTATTTTCTTTCGAACTGAACATAAGGTTTTGGTCTAAAGAGTGTCCAATTAATACCAGTAGCGCTATTTATCGCCACCATCGAGATATTCCCTTAGAATTCTGACCCTGAATGGTGGATTAGAGATAGCACAAGAAATTTTTTAATTCTTATTCACTTAATTAAAATTATCTTCCTAGTCTTTAATTGTAGATTTAGTTCAACATATTTTTTCTTGCTTTGTCGATACTTAAGCGACAGCTAGAAGTTCTGTAGAGAAACGAAAATTATACTTTTGCTATGTTTGTGGGTATTTCGGATGAGAGCTCAATGATTCAAGTTGACTAATAATTCAATAATATGAATATTGATGGAATCTTATTGTCTATGCTTGATGTTCATTTCAGTTAATGAGTGAATTAGTCTTACAGGAAGCATGGATGACAATACACGCAATTGAAAACAATCAATATAAGAAAAGGATGTTCGAAAGAAAACCATCTCTCGAAAAGGTCTTTGACACAAATCGCTCATCTGTTTATTGACACTGCATTCGTTGACAAATACATTGTACTAAATAAATGTCAAAAATGTTGCTTTTTATTCCTATCTGTGTCCATTCTTCAGTCTTGTCTATTTCTACATTTAAGTTTTCTTTACTTTTCTTGATCTAGTGGAGTTCATTTTTGCCTCTAATTGTTGTTTGTTCGATTTTTTTGTTTCTACCTTCCAGTCACTACAATTTGTGTTTTATATCATGTCATCAATAATTTTTGCTACTTTCATTGTGGATTAGTCTTCTTTATAAATGTACAATAGATCATTGTAGATACATCAGAATGTTAGTATCTTTCTCTGGGTATCATCAGCAAGATTAAATGCAAAATTTTCATATTGATCTGATATCATATTCGAAATATTTTATTGATTTAAGAAAAACTAGTTTTATATTAGTACGCAGTTGTATGCATCCCTTTGCACTTCGATCGGCTGCAAAAATCTTCTTGATTTACGAAGACAGTAGAATTTTGCTCAATTTTTACGGTAGAGAGGATGGAAACATTCTCAAACGTCAACTTAGATCAGTTACTGCCTACTATCGAATTACCATTCTTGTGTGTAAATGAATAAATATAGTAACATCAATCCTTTTATCATGCTTCTTCGCATATGCAATTACTGAAGCTTTTGATAATTACGTATAGCAAGTGAATCATGAATTAATCAGTATGACGTACACATCAACATTTTGTACAGACTCATTTATCAAGTAGTAGTATAGCTAAAACATATAATCTTACAAGTATATTGGACGTATATAGATAATAAAGACAAGCTTAAGGTCAGAGTAAAGATTTTAAGTGAGTATAGTTCAAAATGAAAATCAGCTCTCTAATTCGAAGATAAAATAATATTGATGCCTCTCATTAAATTTTTCAGTTTCTGGCGACCAAATTCTGGTTGTTAGCAGGTGTTATAGCCACTTTGTTCGGTGGTGGTCTTACTCGCCATCTTGAGCGTATTACAGAAAGTTTCTTCCGTATTTCTGGTAAGGAACTGAGGCAGACATATGGCAAGAGCAAAGGAACGAAATAGCAGAGAAAGTATACGTAAAGTTGAACATCAAGACTAACATCTGGGGGCAAGCCCAGTAAATGTGCAAATATAAGCGTTGGTACGGGCAAAAAGATGACTAGATAAATTGATACAATGGATAATAATTGAATTGTCATCTTTCGATGTTGACGCCACCGAAAAGATTGAATCAAGCGGTGCTTTTGATAAATCACACGCACCAAAAGAGTAGTACTGAAGAAAATGATTAAGATAGTAGGCAAAAAAGAATTTCCCGTTAAATCATACATGAAGAGTGTCTTCTGATTGAAATAGCATGGGTATGAACACCAAGCTTGACTGTAGTCGAAAACTTGCTCACAATCTGGAAAGAATATAATGACGATATAGAATATAAAACCATAGAAAAGAAGAACTACTAGAGGAAGATAATGAACGATCATACGACTTCTTCTGGTAGCTACGAGTCTATCGTAGAATATCAAAATATATCTCTCAACGGATGCATATGCCATTAAGATAGTCATTATAAGAAGTATACCAATATTGATGAACCACCAAAGTCGGCAGAAGCTCGGAATCGCTGGCCATACATAACCTAAGAGAGCAAACACGAGATAGGCAGGAATATCGATGAGTTGCATGCTGAGCGCACCAATAAGAAAAAGAATGATAACATGATTGTGTAATGCTGCACGCAGAGTTGAATTCACAAGTAAATGAAAGAGAAGAAAAAGAGTGCAAGCAAGCGCCGGTATCTCTAATATGAGTAGGAGCCAAAAACGTATCGGTCGAGGCATTGAAATTTCTGGTGCATTATTCGACGGAGTATCTTTACTAGAGCTTTGATTGAATTCAGTTATTTTTAGTCGGATGAGAGAGTAGCCGTCATTCACTAGTCGTAGAAATCGTACGCTTGACATCAATGCTTGCTATGAACAAATGCTATAAAAATTAAAATAGAAAGGCATATCAGTGGAATCCCTACAATGATAAACAAGAAAGTCTTTGAATAAAGGTGTTCTGTATCAGATATATACATGGTATCTCTTGCGCAGAACGAATAATTGTCCACTAGACTCGTACATTCGTAGTGAAGCACCTGAATATCGATCAAGAATTCATAGAATCACAAAATATTGGGCTTCCCTAGTTCCATAGACAGCGAGGCAATAATATCAAAATTCCTCTTGATTGCAATCGATCGTGTCTAGGAAATTAATGAATGAAATCAATAAAAGAATCTCGATGTTTCTTATGAAATAATGAAAAATCGAGAAACTAATGACATCTGCATCATCCATCCTTCTAGAAATACATTTCTTAATACAAAGCGAGCGCATAATATTTTCCAACAAACTTATGTCTACATGAAAGACGCAGTCAGAAATATGTAACTAGTGGAGAGGAATAACGCATGTCATGCTCATCCTGCAAAATGCTCTGTAGCATAAATGATTACCGTGAAATAGAAAAAAAGCTCATTCACAAAATAGCTACAATAGTGAGTTATTTCTTTCGTATCGAAGAGAGTACAGAGTACTCTTTGATTACGTAACGAATACTTTATTTACTACTGACAAAGAAATATGTCGAGGTGTTCTATCGATTTGCTATATTTTTTTGGTTAATGACAACAACTTTTCAACAAAATCAAATGAGCCAATCTCAAGCAAATACTTTGTCTACAAGTAGATTCACCAATCATTAGCATAGTTAGAAAGTTTAATTTCAGAAGAAGTATTTTCTGTTGAAAATGTCCAGCCATTCAAAGTCGTCCAATTCGTCAAACGCATTCGATTTATTGCGAGTTGAATATATTAAAGCCGAAATTCGTTCATTCTATTTTATCGAAAAGCCCTGATTATTGAGAAAAATAAAGTACAACAATCATACTATAGCCAAGAAGGCGGTGCCCATACATCATTTTTGAGTTGGACTACTTTATTAATCCACTATATATTCCCTAAAATATGAGCTGAGAACCAATGAGACACTTCAAGAGATTCTGTCGTAAATATCACCATGAAAACAAAGCATTGTTGGTACTAGCTTGTTAGCTAGTAGAGAAACTAATGTGCATCGGGATATACATTTTGTTACAGATGGTGTGTAATCAACGGGAAGATGCTATTTCGTTGTTACTTTTCCATTTAACAGCATGTTTCCCTTTATTTAATGCTGTGACACAAATTATATCGTTAAATTCCATTGTAAATTTTGATTTCAATAATGATTGATTATTAGTTTTCCATGAAACAATAGGATCGTCCAATTCACAATGCGCTACAACCAGTATCATTTGAACATGTGGACCAAATATGCCATCATAAAACAGGTGATAATTATTTGCAATAGTATTATTAATTATTCCCTTTCTCATACATATAATCAATAGATGAATACCTTCTTCTAAATACCGAATCAATTTCATTAAATTTCCGACTGGTTGGTCTGGCTTAACGCGTCCCTTATCAGATTCATTTAAACCAGTTGTATCATAGATATTGAATGAATATCCGTCTCTTGTCCCTTTATATAATCTTGATTCAAATGTACAATCAACAATAACATCCGATGTGTTAGCTATATCCATGTTTTATAACATACGAATTATTGAACTTTTTTCAATACCTGATTGACCAAAAATAATCACATTAAAGCTTGTACTCATCTGAAATTCGAAGAATCTGACATTTAAATAATGAAAACGAACTATAAAGTTCAATTGTCTTACACAAAAAATAAATAAATAATATGTTGTACATCATTAGTGAAAAATAATTTAATTTTGTAAAGTAACAAACGAACAATAAATAGATCTATATTTCTATTAAGATTTTTATGCTTTTATCCTGCAATATCTATATACATGTCAAAGGCGTCACTATTTAGATGATATGCAATGCGCTATTGTTCTCGTATAGTGATTTCCAGTTCAATGACATCGAAGTTATTGACATTCACACTCTGCTACCAGATTTTCACACTCGTTTTACCGATTTTGACAACTAAATATTTAAATATTTTTATCTTTGCACTGTCTGGTTACTAATCACCCAAGAAGTCTACCCTGGATATTCCAGCTATCAAAAAAACTGGTGTTAAAAGTGAATCTTTTCCTAACGGCATATGAACACAAAAAATTTCACTTTTATGATTGCTTCCTTGTTAAGATATAGAAGTTCCGGAATAATTTTCTTATTTCACTAACGTCTTTTGTAGATTCTCTGAAAAACTTAATAGAAAATCGACATTTCAATATTTTTCGTATAAAAAGATTACTTCTAAAGAAATTTAATATGTAATCCACACAGGGAAACCTTTTACGTGGAATGCAAATAATAATGGTATTAAGTTTTTACTTTCAATAATATATGGAACCGTAAGGGTGTGAAACTTCATAAAAAACATTGCCTAGGACAATCCTAAAGTACTGACTTTTTCAGATGAAACTCCACAAGATAGCATTAATCAAGTTTTTGCTCCAGTAAGTAGTTGAGCTAGTAGCCATGCTTACTCATGCACAATCAATTTATTTCAAAACGTTAGTTGAAAGTTTTTTTTAATCATCTTTTATGAAAAAATTCATCATCTTGGTTACAGCGCTCAATACAACAATTTGGATGATAAAAGAAATTTAGTGAATAATGGAGTGATAGTAATAGGCAACAAATGCTAGACGTGTCACACATAAATGCGCTCAAATTCTTCAAACTAGTATGATTGCAAGTGAAAAATCTTTATCAGCTACAGTTTGACGCTGTAAGTTTGTCTCAAAAGAATGTTTCGTGTGGTTTCTTAAGACAACTAACCAAATGCTCTTATAAAAGAGATAGATATGGAAAGAGAGCAGACTTCTAATTACTAATATTATATCAATAATTCCGTAAAACTATTTATTAATGTAATCAGAAGGCAAAGATCACCAGCTAGTGCTCAGAACGTCAAATGTCATTATCACAACGTCCAACCATATATTCATAAAGATGTGTTTTACTCTATCTCTCACATCAGAACATATCGCGCTTATTTTATACCCATCTTATTCGAGGGATCCACTACTACGCAGTTTTCTGGTGCTCTATCTAATTGATAAATTTAATCAATCAAACGGTTCCTAATCAGTGAATTTAGTGCTGTAACGAAGCTGATGATTTTTGTCATCAAAGATGATTCGAAAAACACTTTCAAAAAATGTCTTGAAACAAATTGATTGTGCGTAGGTAAGCATGGCCACTAGCTCAAATACCTGCTGGAGCAAAAGCTTGATTAGCTTTATTATGTGGGGTTTTATCTGAAAGAGTCAGTAGTTTTGAACTGTCATAAGTAGTTCCCACACCAACTTTCTGCATAGCTTCCAGAGGTCTATTAGGAATTGCATCTCATGCACAATTTTAGAGAAATTTTGAGACAATATCAATCTCTCTATCATCACATGCATGTGAATAAATTTTGAATTTTGACAAGAAACCCATGGTAAGACAACGAAAATTCGAACTTTCCCTTGTTAACAGGAAGCGATCAGAGATGAAAAATTATGTTTTCACATCGACACCTGTCCGGTTTTCAGTAAAAATGGCCTTGTTTCGTGAATAGCTTGATAAACTTGCATAAAATTTATATTACAGATAACTATAACGCAGAGCTATAAGACGAGAGGTTGGACGACTCAACAAGCTTTATTGTTCTTCAGTGATGAGATTCGCAATGATCTTAGATGCCGCTTATTATAACGCCATTCTAGTTTGAACGATTTTAGCGCTGATATTACCGTTGACTTACATTATTTGTGAACTACCTGCATACATATTTCTAGATGTTTAGCTCTCATAGGGACTAAGATCCGGCGGGGGGGGGGGGATATCTTTGGGCAGTAGTATATCTGGATACTGCTACAAAATGGTTTACCCGTGAGACGGTGTGATTTGATAGTTGAACGTTCTTTGAATATTAGCTCTGGTCCAGTGTAATGTAAGATACATGCATTTCATCAAGTATTTATAGAACGTCCAGAGAGTATAAGAGAGTTTAGTCTCATACATTTTTTACATACTGATTGGAAATATTCATGTTAATATTTGCTAGAACACAGCCGTGCAATATCTCAAATACACAATGATAGAAAACATTTCAACCAACGCTATGATTGTTGGAAGAAAAAACGGAATAAACCTGGACGATCTTTATTTGAATACGAATCTCGCTGATAAATTTTCTTTCGTGACTTATGATAAAGTTTACGTAACATTCTTATTTCTATGCTGTGCATTGGTTCGATAATTTTTGTTTTTCTCGTGTTGCCAACAACGAATACTTGCTTTTGCGTTCTTTCTGTGTTGGCTCTATAGTTCACAAGAAAAATTATCAACGTGACTCACATTTCACGAAATAAAGCCAATAACGAAAGTTTCTTTTTCTTTCAACAATGGCAGTGATAATGGAAGTAGTTTTCAACCATTTTTCTAAGCTGAACTATTTCATGGAAAATCTATCGCGAAAACAGGAGAATTGTAACAATGAGCTGTAGGTGTGGATGCTGTAGGTATGAGTCTACTTGGATACAGAAAATATGTTTTATTAACTACTCTTGCAGTGTTAAAAGTTTATTAAAACAATGTTTCAACGAGATTTTAACTCTTTTCTTAAGAAGTCGTATCTGCCTGAGTCAACTCATCATCTCATTTCATGAAACGCAAACTGTCAATGCCCGAATTAAAAAGTAACAAATTTCCTCTTTATTCCAATTCTTTCATCTATTTTAGTTAAAAGAAAGACTCAAGCCGAACCTATGAATTTGAGGGAACCCAAGTCAACATTTTTCTATGATACAGTTGTCCTTACGAGGAATATTTTAGCAAGAATTCATACAAACTCTGTCCTGATGGTACCGAGAATGAAATATTGATCGAAGTTTGTTAAAATTCTATTCACTAAGTAGCAAACCTAAGTATGGGTAAAATGTGGGATGTGGAGAGCAAATCAGTCACAGCCGCATTCGCCCACACCCTTCAAAGTGCAAATCAATATAACTTTTCACGTTTCAAATACCAGTAATATGTTGTGTCAAGTCTTCACATCATTTTGTGGTTTTTCTATCCTACCCTGTAGTGATGTAAATATTTCATATTTCTAAAAAAGATTGACATTTTCGACCAAAATAGGACAGGGATCAATTGCATGTGAAATCGAACATTTTTCTTAGCTTTGAGAGCTATTATGATCCTCAAAGTTGTCAAACTGCTTCCATCTAATCCTGTGTCTAGTTGGCGAGAGCAGAATAGAAACTTCTTTATAACAAAAATGAATTGAATCTTTCAAGTTCTACAATTGATTTTCGTGTAATGAGATATTGCTCTGATAAATATCGTTAAATGAAATGTACCATTGTCTGTTGTTTGGATTGAACAGTATTGAAATCATCCTAAACTCTCGATATTTTTTCTAGTTTCTTTTTAGTCTAGACATAAAACGCAAGATAAAACAGAATAGTGAATAGAGGTTTACATCGTTTTCAATAATTAACTGCAGCTTTGAAGTTCATTTGGTATCTTTAGTCTCAATATGAGATCACATGTGGATTCTTTTGATAAACTTAAAAATGTGTCATGATGTCAACACGACCTTTTTGTTACTAACGAACGCTTCAAAATTAGTCTGGATAATGAGACGTCTGGAAAAAGATTGTGTAGATTAGCCTATGCAATTAGTACAAGAAAATACGTGATCTTTTGATGTAATAAGTCGAATCTATTAATTAAGTTACTGAAAACATTTAGTAGACAATTATTCGAAATAAACTATGAACTCTTTCGATTGGAAACTGATTTCACTGTCGATTTAAATTTAAGATAGCATATATATTACTAAAAAGCCTTAGATATACCGCTGAAAATATCTTGATAAATGTCTCCAATATCATAGTAATCTTCAAAATGTAGACTTGAATAGTGATTGAAGAAATTCTTTTTCTCAGGTAAATGGACAACAGCCAACCATAATATTTCAAGAAAACTTTCACAATTGACAACAAAAGTTGTTCTCCTTAACGTTATCAGACAATCTACATGGATAGATCGTTTGATTCGGGATTTTCCAAAAGACTCCTTCGAACAAGAAAAGTTTGAGTAAATAGGATATTTGTAACTGGTAATATATTACATACCGTCAAACTATTAGTGCAAAGTTTCGCTGACATTTATGTGAAAATATCCAACAACCTTTTCTTACTTATTGACATTGTTGCTCACAACGCTCGACTACCATCAAGTGAATTTAGACATTACACAATAAATTCGTTAGAGACTACATCATTCATTTCAATTCATTTTCAACTGGTTTGAAACCGCTTACAAATAAATTATTACTTTAACGAGCTCTCATTTCAAAAATTGTTTTGTTATTGTTCATCATCAAGATAGTTCATCTGAAAAGTAGCATCGAAAATTTTTTAGAACAAATAATTCTCTATTGCCTAAAAAATATCCTATTATTTAAGGATTCATCTGTAAGATTAGATTATGTTGTATTAACGATCACAAAAATTTACCATAATTATAATATAAAAGTTTTCATTGAAAATACACATAGTAGTGA